TGCCTGTCCCGGAGGGCTTTTGAAGGCGGGGAGCAAGACTTCGCCCCCGCCCGCCTTCAGAAGAGGTCCAGGACCTCTTCTGAAGGCTGGCGGGGGCAAAGTCTTTGTCCCCCTGCCTGCCTTCCCAGGGCTTTAAATTGCCCGGACAGCGGAGAAGTCCTCCGCTGTCCTGGGGTTTTTAAAATGCTGGGGGTGGGAAGAAAAGCCCTTGCCTCCCCAGCCTTCAGAAGAGGTCCGGGGACAGACTGTCCCCGGACCTGGTCTGAAGGCGGTTTCCTAGGAACGCATTAATTGATTTTCAATGCATTCCTATGGGAAACCGTGCATCGCAAGACGAAAAACTCGCAAGACGAAGAGACTTGCGGAACGAATTAATTTCGTCTTGCGAGGCACCACTGTACTATGTGTCTAAGTCACACAGTCTTCAGTGGAAGGATAGACAAATATGTCAGTTTTCATTTCTCTCAGTTTCTTATTTCTCCATTCTTAGGTCCAGATCTCCAAATTTCTACATCAGTTTGAGAGATTTTTTAAAAATCATCATGAAAATTCACCAGCATTTTAATGTGAATTCCTCTGAACAGGCATATGTGTGCAATTTTGTCCAATATACACATTTTCACAAAGCAGTTTACCCCAAGAGCATGGTTTTCTGTATGTTATTTTTACTAATATGTGCTTTTGAATCTACCCTTTGCCTCAGAACATTCATTTTGGTACACATTACTTGGCTGGAGCACTGCACTGCAAAATTCAGATATGCACACATTTCAGGTTCACAGTTAATGGGAAACAGAAACACTTTTCTCCCCAGTCCCAAGTCCATTGGGACCAACTCCTAAGTAAGAGTCCACAGGATTGCAGCCTTATTGACTAACTGGCTACTATTTTTTTACTTGAGTGGCTGCTTTAAGTACCATTCATATGCCCCTCTGTTGCAATGATTTCAGTGCTTGTGGTTGCCCCCAATGTTAGAGTATACCAACTGAAGTAAATGGGTCCATTGAATTTAAATAGGTCTACTCTGAGTAGAATTTAGTTGGATGCAATCCTTAACATGATTGGATCTCTAGCACTCTCCTCTGGCTACCATGCTTTTCTGTCATACAGTTTCGGGTTAGTTGTGCACCCATAGTCCCATATGTACCACCATGTACATAATTTGTCTCTCCTATCCTCAACACTTTTTTACATTTATATCTCACCTTTCTTCTGTCATGGAACCCAGGGTGGTGGACATATGGCTCCCATATGGTCACCCACTGAGGCAGTGAGCTGGCCTAGCTGACCAGTTGGTTCATGCATTCAATTACTACAACGTCCCAGAGTATGGTAGATAGCTGAATATATGTACCAATTTCAAGGAACAGGTCATCTCCATTTGAAGATCTGAAGATCTGAAAGTTCTACTTGAGGCTCATTCATACAGAGAAATCATCACTTGTTGCAACCATCAAGTGATGAGCATACCTCTCTGAAAGGTAGAAATGCAGAAAAGTCATAATGCACACGTTAAAAGACTGTCTCTTTATTATGCTATCCTGTGCTGCAGAGCCACACTTTTGCATTTCCTTGGGAGTATTCTGGTTCAAATTAAGGTATGACTCACGTCCAGGTTTATAGAGAAAAAAATCTGTTTCTAAAATATAACTTTGGGATTTAGGTGTGTTAATTAACTCAGCTGAAAAGCATAGAGATTTATCTGAAATGGTATTAATGTTCTACACAGCCGTCTGTGTGAACTTATAAACTACACGCTGCCCTTTTGTAATTTCAGGGCTACAACTTAACTTCTCCTACCTTGGCTGATATCTCCCCAGCCTCCTCTTCATTCACAATTTCCCCTTGTTGTTTGTAAGGGTGTGGGTACGTGTACATGGAAGTGTGAGTCTAGGGGTGTGCATAAGCACATATACCCTTACTATATTATTCACACTGCAACCTTTATTAATGTCAAAAGGACTGATTCTATTTTGCTAAGACTTGCCACACACTTTTAACATTACCATCTGGAAAACATAAAAAGTAGGTGCAGAAACACTGCTGTTTCACCTTGAGCAGCTCAAACTCTATGGCTGCAATTTTGTATCTGTTTAAGCACTGGAATCTATTGCTATTGAAATGAACACTGCGAGGTTGTCTTTCAAATGGGAAAGGAAAGCACAGTGTTGGGTATACTGTGTGAGAGTGGCAGGAGGTGCATATGTTCTATTGGGTGCCATACCACAAAAATAATTCAGAAAGCACACGAATACCAAACTGAAAAAGAAAATGAGTGGCAACCAATGGGAGGCTTTTATTAGTTGCATGGGCATCCAGGATTTTTTTTTTAAAAAAAATTGAATATTGTCTTTTTAATTTGTGACATGACGTTTAAAGGAGGTCAGCTTGTTTTAAGAACAGAAGCAACTTAAGCTTAGGATCCTCTGACAACTTTGGTGGGCAAGGCAGGGTGATTGCACAACAAAAGTTACATGTGGAAAAACCTCTGAAGAACCTGCTTACTCAAGACATTTCTGAATTGAGTATGGATTTTCCATTATCACAATCACCCTATAATTACATATGTGGTCCTGAAAAACAACAACCTGTATAGTACCATGAACCTTGCAGAGTTAAATATTAGAACTCTGTCTTATGGGCTAGAGTTAGACTCCACCCCTTGGATTTCACACTGCTTTTTGGTTTCGGTTGTGTTTTTTACCTACCCAGCAATAAAGAAACATATTTGTGTTTAGTAAGAACTAAGGTTTTGTTTACTCTGCAATTATGATGATGAGTAGAGCAGGTCTGGGTTGCTGAATGGTGAAATAAAGAGATAACTTAAAGTGATCAAGAAAAAGAACTACCCTAAATTACTCTTTTAAAACACTCACAAAGATAGTGGCTATTCTTTCTTCGTTTTCTTGAGTACTTGATGGCAATGGATGAAAACCGCCCTAGAAGAATATAAACACTGCTGTACACGCTACACTTAGTTAACTGGCTGACAAGCTAGGCTGTAATTCAATTTCTAATTTTCTCAATGTGTGCAGCTCAGTTTGTGGTCCCCCCCCCCGAAAAAAATAAACCCAGCCACCAGTAAAAGAAAACCCAATTGCCTTTCACAATTAGTTTTCAATTATTTACAGTGGTGCCCCGCAAGACGAATGCCTCGCAAGACGGAAAAAACGCTAGACGAAAGGGTTTTCCGTTTTGAAGTTGCTTCGCAGGACGAATTACCCTATGGGCTTGCTTCGCAAGACGAAAATACCTTGCGAGTCTTGAGATATTTTTTTCGCTCCCCCCCCCCTTTATCTAATCTGCTAAGCCTTTAATAGCCTTTAATAGCCTTTTAGCAGCTAATCCCCTAAGCCTTTAAGCCTTTAATAGCCGCTAAACCGCTAATAGCGCTAATAGCGCTAATCCGTCAATGGGCTTGCTTCGCAAGACAAAAAAACCGCTAGACGAAGACTCTCGCGGAACGGATTAATTTCGTCTTGCGAGGCACCACTGTACTTGGTCCTCCATATAGCAACCAGTTTTCCCTTGACTGTCCAACAAGGAGGAAAATCTAAATGTCCAGAACAAGACCAGAGTGGATTTTTGAGAAAACAAATTCCACACTAGTTTTAAACTTCTTAGTGATAGTATAAGCTATTTTGTTTGTTTTACATATTTTGCTTTCCCCTTGTTCACTGTATCCTTAGCATCCTTCTCTCCTATATAAAAAAGCCAGTTATTTAATTCTTAAGGTTCATAGTAAACTTTCTGTTCTGACTTTCACATAGTCCATTGTGTAAGTTAACACACTCTCTGCATGGAGGAGTTAGGGTGAAAATCACTGCCTTTCCATTCCCCTGGCCTGGCTCTCACATCCTCTCCACCAGTCAGGGAGAGAGGGGGATTGGCTGACACTGTGCATCCCCATCCCACCCCAAAATGTGCCCCACTTAGAAATGTGGCTGCTCCACCTAGCAATGAAGGCTGGTTACAAATTAATAGCAAACAATTAATAGAATATAGAATGATATTGTCTTAACTGGACTTACTGGGAATTTATTTTATCATCATCATCATTATTTAACCTTGCACAGTATCTTGTGAACATATATTGAAAGGGGGTTTATAAATACTGTTAATAAAAAAAAATTGCATATACCAGATATTTCCCTCAATATGAATAGATTTTGGCAAATTATCCATATCCATGGAAAAGATCCCAGTTTGCACCAATGAGCTTTTTCAGCAATCAGATGGTGGCAACTCCTTGCATTTTGTTTGCAGTCAACTATTCTCTCAGGCATCATGGTATTGTTTTGTTAATGAACCACTTTTTCTAGGATGATGGAGAAGTTAATAAAATGGAGGGGAGAGAAAGAAGAACGCATCCCTTTCTATTCAACTAATAGAACTGATTATGCCATCACTTCAAAATACAAAGAAGCCTTAACATCTGGTCTGGTGCACCTCATCAGAAACACACCTGAATGAAAAGCACTTCTTGTTCTGTGGAGAACAGCCGGCTGAACGATGGACAGAGATAGACCCTCCCAGTTCCCCTATGCAAAAGCTCCGTCCCTGCATTTCGATAGCTAAATTAGAGGTAACATGAGAGGGAAATATGCAGGCAGCCTCAGGGCACATCATATATTCTTTTATTCTGGAGTTTTCCATAATTAAAAATGAAACCTAATTGCTCTGACTATTCATTCCTTTTCTAGAATGTCACAAAATTAGTTTCTGCTCAGTGATGAAAAGTGTAAAAGATTTTAAAGCAAGATGTACAACATGGTAACTTTTAAAAATGAGTAAATTAGAAAGCTATGCATTTCAGCTACGCTGGGATCATAGATGTAGTCCGCCTTTGTGGATTTTTTTTAATTATTTGTAACAAATAAGGAGTTGCAGGACCCTAATTTGATTATTCTCCTAAATCGTTGTTGGTGTAAATGAGTTCTGACAGTTCATCAATGCTGCCCTCTGTAGTCATATAAGGAGAAAAACAGTCTCCCTAGAGAGGCGTGCTGAGGAGATATTCAGATGGAAGTAAAAAGCAAAGTAACAACATCGGTGGAAACACTTTTATATTGTAAGCTTCTCTTTTGGTGAGTTTGTGCTCCCCCACCCCCTTTATTATCTTGTAAACTGATTTCTTTAAACACAGTATTTCCAAATAGTAAAAATATCTTTTAATTATTGGTTTTAGTGGTAGGTGGGCAGCTTTGCTGATGAGGAATGTTCTTTGGCGGTGAGTGTGTGGGGGGGATAGAGAACAGAGAAGCATTTTCCAAGCAAGTGGAGACAAAACAAATTACGATCGTAGGTCAAGGGCCTGGCCCTCAGTAGTCAAATAAAATAAAAAAATCAAAAAAATCAATTGCCCTAATTGAAAGCACACCCAATCCTCCACCACTCCGAAATTATTTCATCTGATAAGGTAGCATCCATTAAGGAGTGAGTCTTTAAAACTAATGACATCAAAACCAGGCAAAAGAAATTGCAGGAAATAGAAGAGGTCGCCAGATGTTCCTAAACAGCTTCCTTTTGACGTGCTGTAGTGGATAACTCCAGATACTGTATCCAAGTGTGCGGGGGGAGGACTTGGAGCTCTGAATTTCTTTACCTAGAATGAATAACCCTGGAAATCCTTAAAACTAAAAATCACTCCCCCCCCCCAGCATATTTTCTTTACTAGATTTAAAAGTACTTGTTCCACCCTATTTTTTGGTCAAGTATGTTCCCAAAGCAGATAACGTTTAGTGTGTGTGTGTGTGTGTGTGTGTGTGTGTGAGAGAGAGAGAGAGAGAGAGAGAGAGAGGAGTTAAAACTACCAAACAAAATTGCCAATAGTTCAATAGGGTTCTCTGACTGGAGTTGCTTTAAAATTGGTATTGACGATGGAGGTTTAGAAAACCCTAGGAACTCTCCATATAATCCTCTCCACTGCATGTGTGGAACTCCTTTAGGGCAGCATGTGTTGTAACCCCATGTGTTGTGCCTTGTAAAAGCAACTGTTTATCAACCTACTCATCTTTATTGAGTGCTGACCTGACCTGAGAGCAGAATCTATCAAGGGATGGAAGGAAGTCTGAGTATGTACTCCAGCCCTACAACTCACAGACAGAGTAAATATCATAACGACTCTACAAAAACTGTCCATAATAAAACCATCAGCCCATACACCTCTAAGGTCAGGGGAACAGCTTCCTGTTCGTTTGAGCCTCCCCCACCTTGGGAGACAGCTTAGCAATGAGTGGTAGATACAAGTAACTCCATGATAGGGAGATCAATCAACCTTCCTAATAATAACCTATAGTCTTAAGGGACACAGAACTGATAAGTCTGCCTCTCCTCAACCACTGGAGGCAAGAACTCCAAAGGCAATAGAGAATGGGTTACAAGTCATAATTGTTTGTAGGCCAGTGAGGAAAACAAGACTGCACAAGTGCTACTAATTATATTTATAGCTAGAAGCAGCACCCTCTTAAGTACAAACAAAAAGGCCACGATGCAATTGTCAACGGGGCGGGGGGGGGTGAGTTGGGAGGGAGGAAAACCTTTGAACATGCTGGGGATGTTAAAGAGAAGATGCCTCACATGTGCAATTACTCAGCATCTCTTTACAACTGTGAACACATGTTCCCATGTGGAGAAAATTATAGCTGTGAATACCACCAGGTAGGCACGCTGTCCCTGCCCTTGCTCTCTTTCTCCTCTCTCTGCATTCTCCCTTCTGGTTCACAAAGCTAGGAAACAGGGGAGGTTCTGTATCAGCTGCATCAAAAGGTTCAAGGGACAAATCATTTAAAGTCAAGCGGCCAGGCTGTCAGAGTGGAGACAAAGGAGTGGAGACAAAGGAGATGGGTGCTATTTTTATCTCAACCTGTTCCCCCTCTCAGACTGCTCTTCCCACCTAAATAGCACACATGTATAATATAAATTGACAGGTTCCTGGCGTCTTTGTCAGAAAACGGCAGCAAGTTCATAAGCTTTTCTGAGTTGCACAGAGGGGCTCAAATAGAAATAAACAGAATTATTTACTAATAGATAATTCAGGGAGCCTGCATAAATGTGATATTTGCAACGTAATCCTATCCATGTGGATACAGGAACAGATTTCTGACAGAAAGGACTCACACCCTCCAACATTTTGCCGATGAAAATAGGGACGTCCCATTCCATAATGATAATTTTTCTATTTATACCCCACACATCTTACTGGGTTGCCCCAGCCACTCACAGCAGCTTCCAACATAAACAAAGACATGATAAAACATTAAGCATTCAAAAAAGCTTCCCTATACAGGATCGCCTTCAGACAGCTTGGGGGGGGGGGGTTGGATAACTCCATACCCTCCAACATTTCTCCAATGAAAACAGGGGCATCCTAAGGAAAAGTGGGATATTCCAGAATCAAATCAGAAACCGGGATGGTTTCTCTAAATCAGGAACGTCCCTGGAAAATAAGGACACTTGGAGGGTCTGAATGACTCTGGAGATTTGCAAAAGGAGGGCTGAAAACAAATTAAGGAGGAAGTCCATACAAATATCCAGAGCATGCGCTGTTAGGGGAGGGGTAGCTTCGGGGGGGGTGACACATGCTCCTTCTGAGGGTTTGTCCATCTTTGGTCTCTACCCTGCACTCAGCTCTCACCTGTGCCTCCTAGAAGCTGTCAGCATGTGTCAGTGGCTGCACCTCAGAAAACAGCTTCGATTGGCCCACGAAACCAAGTGAGGGGAGCCAAGAAAAGAGTAAATCCAGAGTGAAGTCCCGCCCCGCCCCGTGCCAGTCTTGCCACACAAGATGCATTTAGCTGAACCTGTGTTGCTGCACTTTGTAAATAGTAATGTTATTTGATTGTGCATCTGCTCTCACCCATTTTACTGTTTTGTTGTTTGTTGATTGGTTGATTACACTGTTCTATTGTATTTCATATTGTATGCTGTTTCAGGATTATTTTATAAGAAAAAATGGGTAAGAAATTTTATTAAAATAACAAATAAAATGATTTTAAGGAAATTGGGAATCCTAGGCCAAAGAAGACAAGGAAAAAGATGCGGAACTGAAGGAATGTTACTAGAGTATGCCTAATCAAAGAATCTTGTATCTTTCCTGTATTTTCACTTAGTAGTCATTTTGGTTTAATTTTTAACTTATTGTTGCCAACACTTTGCAAAGGTAAAGAAAGGGGCCATAAATGTTTTAAATAAATCATAAACAAAGAGATGCAGCTCCGATACAAGTTTATTCTTGCAATGGGTTTGTTATAAAACTTCTCACTTTCCGAGAGGTACAGTTTTATTTGTTTTGAGCAAAACTTTCTGTACTGTTTCAAAGATGAAGGGAGAGAAGGTGGAAGAAGGGGCAGGGGAAAAAAGGGGGGATATGTAAATTAATAAGAGTGAGCAATTATCCACCTAAGATACCTCTTCACCCTCTACTGTTAAATATTTTACTCTGCAGTATTGCTGGCTGTCAACAGCTTGGCAGGTACTTCCATATTTAGAGACGCTCGGATATTGCTTGAACTTTTCACCACGTTTCAGTTGTATAAATATTCCACCAAATTCATTATTGTGTACATTTCAGCTGGATCAGCTAACACATACAAAGTGACACGCATAGAAGCATTTTTAAAGTTTTCATCTTGTGTGCACAGGAAAGAAGAGAGATGAAACTTCTCCTGAGCTGCAGAGCCAAGTGGTGTGTGCTGTCCTGATAATTTACGGAAAGAGGAAGTGGGAGCAAACTCTCCTTTTTTAAATATGCTGGAGTGTTGTCGAAACTGCCACAACAATACTTTCCAATGCCTTACCTTTAATTGAGGAGTCTGCATTTAGATTTCATTTTATTTTTTTGCAGTTCACTGCTGTTTCCTAATTTACCGGGTAAAAATAGTTTTCTGCCTCAAATTAGGTGCCACCTCCCTGCCTCCAAAAGAGATAGGAACAAAAATCAGAAGTACACTTTCAATTATGTAGAATATTGCAAAGTGCAAAATATTGTAAATTGTGTTCTTTTTTCTGTAATGCATTTCTGTAAAATGAGCAGGATAATTCCATTTTACAGATGGTGAATGGAAGCTGGCACAGTGACATACCCAGTCCTAAGTAGTGAATTCAGAGTTGGGCTGTAATTTGACTAAGGACATACCCATGCTGCAGGATTAAACTGGTTTAATAGCCATTCTCTTCCTAGGAAATCCTGGAAACTCATAGTTTTGTAGTAGGTGCATAGTAAAGAAAACTGCATGCAAAATGCATATTTTAGGAGAAACGCACCCCAAAATGCTGCAGAGGTTGTATGAGAACTTTAAGAAAGCTCACTGATGCAGAAATGCGGACAATGAAATTAAAGACTGGGAGAAATGAGTAATAGAGAGAAACCAAAATTAACAGCTTCATCCCTATACATGGATGCAACATTTTTGTATACTCTCATGGGAGCTAGTAGTATTGCTTGTCTCTGAAACAATTTTTTTTTTTTTTAACCAACTGAATTTCAAATATCATCAGTTTTCTTCAGCATACTGTTCTCTACTACATTGACTTGGTGTTAACACTCATACACTTGCCCACATATGGCTATGTATTCTTACTTATTTATTTTGAGATTAAGAAACAGTCAGATCTGCTTTATGCAAAGAGAATAATTACTGGTAAACATCTGTCTTTCTGCAGAAAATAACCCGGCTTAGCTGAAATACTTCTTTTAATGCATGCACCAGAACAACATATTTTTTATTTTTTTTGCAAAAAGATACATTCAGTTATGATTCGTCATTCTCCTCCATCTTCCTAGCAAATATAAAGTCTGTTTTGTGCTTGTATACACACTTTGTTATCATACTTGCATTGGTAAACAAAGTCGCTTACTGCTAGAAATCCTGTGGTAGGTAGACCACCCATACAAGCACATTTGAGACATGTTTGAAAAGCCCTCTAGTAAAGCCAGGAGTGCAAGAGAACTTCCAGGAAGTTGGCTCCTCATTTAACTGGAAAACACACACACAAACACACAGCCCCAAACACTATTGCTCTTTGTTCAAAGCATGTGTTTCAGATGCATTTTCCTTTATGGATTATCTCAGAATGCAGTGCTAAAGGTTATACTGTACAAGAATAAAGCATTATATTTTGTTCTTTAGGCTTTAAAAAAAATCTAGGAATTTTAAACTGCAGAGTTCTCTAGAGTAGAATTGTCAGAATCTGAGCTTTGGACGCTAAAGTCAATATGCACCATTTTCTGCAAAAAAAAAAAAAAAGGACTAAGTGACCATGCTTTTCCCCAAATCCCAAGGATCAAGAAGGGAAATCATTTACTTGTGGTTGACTGAATCAGTAGGAGAAAAGATTCAGACTGAAGTATTATCATCAGCCATCATCATCATCTGCTGCTGCTACTGCTCAGTAGTCTGAGCATAGGTCACCAGTGTGATCATTGCAGGGGCTTGTAGATAGACACCCCTGAGGTCCAGGCCTCCTCTGTAAATCTTTTGGCCTTAATTGAATTGTTCCACGATGCTCTTGGTTTCATCTGACCCACGGTGCTTCTGGCCAGATACGTTGCTACAAAGCCAAGCAATGACTACTTCCCTTGTCTTGTTCCGTGTGGGAGATACATGAGGGAAAAACATTCTGAAAACGGTTTTTAAAAATACATTGAATTTTCCATAAGGCTCACCATCGCCATCTAGTGTATATAGCACTAAAAACTTTTTATTTGCAGCTGTATAGCTGAGTCCACGGTAGATGAAAGAGCTTTAGAAGGATACTGTTCAGCCCAACCCTATGCATATTTCAATGGGGTTTGCTCATAGCCAATGAGTTTATACCCAGTTCCATTTGAGAGTATGCACCTTTGAACTCAGTTGGTCTTACTTTTGAGCAGATGTGTATAAAAGCTGCTATGACAGAAGGAATAATGATGAAACACCAAAGATTTGATAGCCATTATGAACAGCTACAAGCATTATTGAGCCTTATCCTGCAGAAGTGTGTGCCTCTTTTAAAAGCAAACCTACAGACATGCAGCTGCATTTTTAATTCCTAAGGCAAAAACCTTGCTATTCTCTTTGATGCCAGCTTTTGAGTTTCTTAAATTAATCATTGCACATTTATGGACTTGCAACTTTCTGTTCGTACTTGTGGAGGTAGGCAACTTATTTCCATGCTATTGGATAACTGTTTCACAGTGGTGGAAGGCATCGGCTCCAATACTGGTACAAGCAGATGGGAAACCTGAACACTGAAAGATAAAATAAAGTATATGTATTTGTAACTGATTCATTCCTATAAGCGTCGATTCAATCTTCTAATTTTGGGGGTGAAAAAATAAAACTGAATGAGACTTCAAGACAATAAAAGGCTGAAGTCTATGGCAACGGGAAACTCCAAGGTACCTGGACAACCGTAGCTTTGAATAAATGGTCCAGAGGTTGCAAATGTGCACTGCCCCAAAGGTTTGCCTCCTATCTGTATCTGTGCTTTAAAAGAACAAAATGAAACAAAAACAAAACCCAACCAGCACTGTGAGCCAATCTCATATAACAGAAGATTTAAAAGAATATGACTGGTTGTCAGTTATTATCTGGGCAGGATTCACGGTGCTTATAGAGACATACAAAGCTCTAAACTGCCAGTTGTCCAAATATTTAAAATAATGCCTCCTTCCATATCAGTCTACCCATGCATTAATACAAGCAGTGCCCTGCAGCTGAGCGGTGCCTTCTCTGTGGTGGCCCCACACCTCGTAGGGAATGTTTTCTGCAAATGCAATGGTATAATTTGTTTTCTTTGTTCATCCACTGAACAAGTAGTAGATGGTTTTGAATGCAGTAAATAATAAGCCAGTGCTACTGATGTTGCAGTGCTATGCCATAGTAAGTGTTGGGTAGGGAATCAGAGCAGGGAAGACTCTCTGTGACTTCAAATATCAAGGTGTTTTCTGGGAGAGGGAGAATATAAGAAACTGACTGAAGAAAGTAAGCGACATTATTTTCTAGGGTCTGGTTTCAGCATGTAAAGAACATCACATAAACCCACCACCTCAGAGAGTTACACAATGCCAAAGGGAAAATGGTAAGAGGTTTAATTCCCCCTTCCAAACATTCCTTCTGTCTTGAGATCTCCAACAGAAAGGCATGTCAAAGTTTCATAATGTTAAATCTGGCATAAGGTTCAAACCTCAGAAAAATCAGAAACTTGTTGCAGTTTTCTCAATTATTATTAATTCCTTCTTTGAAGTTCAACATATTTTCACCATATGACAAGCATTTCATTTTCCCTGAATTCTTTTCTAAAGGAGACATAGGCTTTTTAAATTCTTATTTCCAGGAAGTATTTCCAAGAACTTGCATTAAAACTGTACTCAAGATGCTCTAAAGTATAAAATATTAATATAATAATCAGTTAAATAATCAGTAATAGCAAAGTGTATGCTGTGGTGGGGTATATTCTGAGTTTAAACCTCACTTAAATGTGTGTGTGTGTGTGTGTGTGTGTGTGTGTGTGTGTAATTCTGTCCCCCAGGGATGCTCGCCTGGTGCCTTCTTCACATACAGTGGTACCTCGGGTTACATACGCTTCGGGTTACAGACTCCGCTAACCCAGAAATAGTGCTTCAGGTTAAGAACTTTGCTTCAGGATGAGAACAGAAATTGTGCTCCGGTGGCGCGGCAGCAGCAGGAGGCCCCATTAGCTAAAGTGGTGCTTCAAGTTAAGAACAGTTTCAGGTTAAGTACGGACCTCCGGAACGAATTAAGTACCTAACCCGAGGTACCACGGTACCTCTTTAAGCACCAAGCAAAAACATTTCTCTTCACCCAGGCCTTTGGCTGATTAAAGAAATATACAGATATGATGAATTAGTGGTAAATAGTGTGCATTAGATTTTTGAGGGGATATTTTCTGAGACCTTTTGTAGGTGCCATAAGAGGTACCTGCAGTTGCCATAATGGCAACCCTTGTCCTAAGGCATGGTTGGAAGTCACACCTGCATAGTATTGTTAATTATTTTGCTGGTCTGTGTACACTACTTTGATTTTTTTTATATAAGCAGTTTGATTCAGTGGAGGGAAATTCTGACAAGCTCTGTAGCTCATTGGTGGAGCATCTGCTTCGTGTGTGGAAGGTGCCAAATTCAACCCCTGGCATCTCCAGGTAGGGCTGGGAGAGACCAAAAAACCTGGACAG